TTTTAATTAATTAAACTGACACTACTGACAAAGGAATGTGTCCTGTAAAAAAAAAAAAAAAAAGAGCTTCAAATGTCATCTCACAGGGTAATCTAGTATTTTACAAATACAAGTTAAAGAGAACTACACACGTTCCTGCAGCTGAATCCACTACTACAACGTAAAATACCTGATTTCCCCTTAAAAACATGAATCTGAAATTTGGCCGTGTATCTAAACTGTTTGTAGATAGAAACTTAAATTTAAATTCAGTAAAAGTAATGCAGTTAGTTTCTAATATGCACTGCCTCTCCACTCCACCTTGAGTGGTGAGCTACCAACTAAATTCACAATCTCAGCAGCTCTGTGTGAGCATGTGAGTGATGTTACTGCATCAGAAATGATCCCACTTAGTGACCAGATCTAAAGTGTAAACGCAGCCCTAAGTGCAACAAAGTAAAGGTGCTCAAAGTGTAAAATAGCCACGTAACCTACACACACACACACACACAAACAATGAGTCTCTTTTCTCATCGTTCAAGCGTTCCCATCAGAGGCTCCATGGCGGCGATGAAGCAGGCTTCAAACTCCTGATCTGAGAAGCGAGCCACCGACTGACGGGCGTTGCGTCTGATCTGCAGCCGGCTGGCGGCCGGCAGCGCCAGGATCCTGTCTATGGCCTCGGCGTAACTGTCCTCGTCGTCAGCCAGGTAGCCTGTCTGGCCTCCCTCGAAAGGGACCACGATGTCCAGCTTGGGGCCGCCGGATTTATGCGCCAGAATGACCTTTCCTGCTGCCATACACTCCACAATGCCTAGAGGGGGAAAAGAAGAGTGAAGATGCACTTTAACACCATCGGAATAGTCTGAAAGTCTAAACCTGACTTCATTCAGAGAGATAAATTACCTATTCCGAAGTGTTCGTTCCACATGGTATGCAGTCCGATGGTGGCTTCCCCCATCTCTCTCTTCAGCTCCTCGAAGGGTATATTCAGTTTGAACTCCACCCTGTCGGCCACACCCAGCTCCTGGCACAGCCCCCTCAACATGAGCACCCTATCTTCGTCCTGCTGGTTCCTGCATCCGCCGATCAGAACCAGCTTCAGCGCCTCCCGGCCCCCCGCGCCCTCCCTCCTCCTGTCTAACACCTTCTTGAAAGCTCTGATCTGCAGCCGGTGGTCCTTCTCCGGCCTGAACTGCCCGATGGAAACGATCGAGTGGCACTTCCTGTCCCCGTCCTCCTCCAGCGGGACGTCCAGGAACGCGCCGACGTCGCAGGGCGGGTAGACCACGCTGGTGCGGTTCGGGGCGCGCCACAGTGACAGGATGTGATCGAGCGTCCAGGAGGAGTTGACCATGATGAGGTCGCTGCAGGAGCCGGCCATGCCGTAGAGCAGGGCGAACAGGCAGTAGTAGACCACCTTGAAGGCACTCAGGAACAGACTGTTGGAGACGTAGTCTGGGTTGTTGAACCTGGGGCATTAACAGTCAGGTTTTAGTTATGGATTCTATGACCAGTCATTCAACTTCTCCCGTCTTCCCCACAGCCTCCCGGGGAAGACGGAGCTTGACACTCAGTATACACCCCTAGAAAGAACTACAGTGCTGCAGTTCCTTCTGGTCACCAATAGAGGACGATAAAAGTCATTCTTTAACTCCTTTTTGGTTGTATTCTGTTGCTGCATGCAGGAAATAGTTTCTAATTGAATGTGGTATTTTGAGAAATGCTTATGATAAGACTATAAATTACATTTTACTTTTAAAAAAATAAAATAAAATAGCCCATAACATAATTCTCAGCCATATGAGACTATTTTCTTTGGTAAAGACTCGCAGTGATTACCTGGGGTTCCTCTCTCTCACCACAGACAGCATGTCAGTGCTGATGGTGGGGTAGTGGACGTAACTCCCCACGCTGCAGCCTCCCAAGTAGCGGAACAGGGGCAGAGTGAAGGCGTAGCCCATGGAGTCGATGTAAAGGTCTGGGACGAACTCGGTCAGCGCCTCCCATCCCAGGAAGATGGAGCCCACGCTCTGTCCCAGCAGGGTGAAGTGAGGAAACAGGCCGGGCTCCACCAGCAGCCGGTGCCTCAGGAACACAAACTGCACCGGCCGGGGGAGCACGATGTTGAAGCGACGCCGCGCCCCATCCAGAATCTGCTGGCCCGTCACACCCAGGTCCCCGGTGTACACCACAAAGTTGATGTCCATGTACCTGTGCAGATGTGGGTTGAGTTAAGAAAGATTTTTGCATAAGCAGAAGCCATTTTGGTGTTCTGATTCTGCTTCTTTTCCAGCTGGCTCGCCACATACTGTCATATAAAGTCTTTCACCTGTTCTGTAGAGCCCTGATAGCACACCAGAGCACCCTCTCTCCCCCACCGCCAGCGTTGCAGTAGGGGTGGAAGAAGGCCACAGTGGGGCGGCCGTCCCTCGCCCGCCGAGCGTTCCTGCTGCTCTGAAGCCACAGACGCACCGCCAGCACCAGCAGGACCAGGACAGCGACAGAAAGCACGCACAGAACCAGCAGAGGAAGCAGCAACTTCCACAGCAGCCTGAAACACACAGACAGTTTGTTATAGGACACAGCGAGCAAATGAGCTTCATACGGCTTTTACAGAAACAGAACAGGCAAAAGAGGAGAGGGTGTATAAAAGGAAGTAGAATTAACCCACACAATAAAAGATTGACAATCAAGAGAAATCCAAAGGAAACAAACTGATGCTTATACAAGACTTCTGAGACTTTTGCTGAAGGCTGTTCAAGAGCCACAATCAAAGACAAACACTTATTTATGACCCTGACATGCATTTAAAAAAAGATTAAAGGCTAGCATGGTAGCAAAACCTTTAGCTGGAGGAGTATTATAGGAATATTGTTGGGACATGGGACATAATAAATAAATAAAGTCGACATAAACTCTTATTTTTAAGGAATATTACCTCATGCAACAGACAGTGCTATTCGACTATAAGGAACAAAGTGTCGCCTATAAATGGGTAATTTAATAAAGAGCTTGTTCTTCATAGTAACGTTGGTAGTAGTGACGGTAAACAAACACATTAATGTTATATTTATCTAAAGCTTAACGTTAGCTAGCTGTTAACTAACCTTAAACATGGTCAACATGTTACCAGTCGTGGCTCTGTTACAACCAGTGCAGCAGCTAATGTACAACACAGTGAAACACGCTCATGACGTTGAACGTGGACTACAAACATTTTATCCGTTTTAAAAACACACTCGGTGTGAAAGCTAACATATCTTACCTCGTTAACTCACACAAACAGAGGACCAGCTGATCGTGGCCCGACATCTTGCCAAGAGAAATTTAACAACACATCACCTTTCAAGCTGCTTTCAAGTTTCCTCCTCTGTTTCCCAGCTGGGGAGTTGTATTTATTTGGCGCCACCTGCCGGCGGGGAGGTGTTACTCCACCGAGCTGTCTGGCTTGTGCGGTTAAAAAGTCCCACTTACAAGCTTACATTAATTCAGACGTGTGTTAATTATAGAACTATTTTAGCTGACATTGCTGGAAATATAGCACCAGGAGTATACTAACCTGCTCCCTGTCAGGCATTATGGCTGATCTATGCCCTCGTCTTTCCAAAAAAGTAATGTTTAACTTCTAAATAAACACTTTTTAATCAATAATGTCTCTTCCCCCGTGTTTTGAGCAAACCTCTGTCATTTCCAGTCCGGATCTTGACATCATGAAAGCTCTTTGGATTTTGTTGCTGCTGAAGACAGGACACTGCATAGAAACATAGTGAGTTGATTTTAATAAAATATTTGTTATGTGGCAAACAAAGTAAATAGGTTATGAGACACATGTTGGGTGTGAGCACAGATGTAAACTCTATAGGTCAATGGACTTGTTGACACTGACACAATTTTAACATAACTTCTAAAAATGATACACCACACTTTACAATGCAGGTGAAAACACTTTACGATTGGCCCAGAGGGGTCTGCAGCATTCGTGTATTTTACTGATGTCGTTTTCTTTCCATTCAGCGACGAAGTTCTATCAATCACCCCGAAAACACAGGAACAAGTGGACGTCTTGAAGAATGTGTCCACTCAATACGAGGTATAGAAATGAGATTTTTCTTCATCTGTGATTGTGTTCCTCTGATTTTGTCCTGAATCATTATGCGCCATGTTTTCTCCCAGACAGCCTTGTGGCAGCCTGCCTCACCTCAGTTCATCAAAGAGGAAACTCAGGTCCACCTGTTTGTTCCTGCAAACAGCTCAGAGACCGTCAAGGATCTGCTACAGACCCACGCCATAACACACGAGTATGTTGCCTTTCTGGAAACACAACACACATAAAGCATTATCATCATATTTGATGCAATTTGTATGGAGGTTTTGTGATTTCTGTTTACTTTAGGGTGCTACTGGCCAACGCCAATGAGTTGATTGAGATGCAGACGAGGAACGACTCCGGTGACCCACGAAGCAGCTCGACTTTCTACGAGAGATATCACAGTCTGGAGGATGTACGCTTTCCATCTTTATCTTATTCCAGCGTCATAACATTCAGTTATTGATATTGTGTCAGAGAGGTGTTTACAGATGGGTAAACAAATTGATTACAGGACTATTGGATTGCATGTATTGCACTTAATGGCTATATTAGGGTTTACATTCTCCTTTGTAGGTCTACGATTGGATAAACAGGACCCAACAGGACAACCCCAGCACGGTCAAAACCATCCTCATTGGCTCATCCAGCGAGAAGCGACCACTCTACGTTCTTAAGGTACAAGAGCTGCAACGATTAGTCGATTAATCACCAACTATTTTGATAACCGATTAATCGGATTGAGTCATTTTTTACAAAAAAAAAATCAAAATTCTTTGATTTCAGCTTTTCAAATGTGAAAATGTTCTAGTTTCTTTAGTCCTCTCTGACAGTAAACTGAATATCTTTGGGTTGTGGAAAAAACAAAGACATTTGAGGATGCCAGCTTGGGCTTTGGGAAACACTGATCAACATTTTTTGCCATTTTCTGACATTTTATGGGCCAAACAACCAACTGATTAATCAAGAAAATGACTTATCGATAATGAAATTAATTGTTATTTGCAGCCGTAGAAGGTACATTCGTCCATCACCTAATGAGCCGCAGTAATGATTAAGATTCAGCTTTATTTTTTCCGTTATATGGAGCTTATATTTAGCTGAAAAGTGTTCAGACACTTTTTTTTTTCTAGCGGATACACTCTCACTCTGAATGAAGGTTAAAGTTCGCTCTCTCTTTCTCAGTTGTCTCTAAATAACAGGCCAGATAAGAAAGCAATGTGGATTGACTGTGGGATCCATGCCAGAGAGTGGGTCTCCCCTGCTTTCTGCTTATGGTTTGTACAGTATGTGAGTACATTTAATCTAGTATCAACAGGCTGGAAATGTCTTGTAGTAACATTGTTTTCTATTAGTTTGTGGTCTGGCACTAAGACTCAATGTCCCTCCTCCCTCAGTCTTTGGGATTTTACAGGCAAAACCAAGATATCACTCACATCCTGGACAACATGGACGTCTACGTCCTGCCTGTCATGAACCCTGATGGATACCAGTACACGTGGACAACAGTAAGCAGATCTGGGTTTGTCGTGCTCGAGCGGTTGTAAGGGAAGCTATTTCAACTGGATTCATGATCTGTCTCTGCTGTCTCAGAACAGGATGTGGAGGAAGAACCGCTCTGTCAGCAAGAGCAGCGGCTGCATCGGGGTCGACCTCAACAGGAACTTTGATGCCAACTGGTGCAGTAAGTCTTCCTCCCGCATTACATTACAGTTTGCTTCCAGCACCCATTGTCCTGTGAGGCAGAAATATTTCAAGAGCAGACATTCCTTTCTTACAAATCATCTGAGAATATGTGTGTTATATTCAATTTTACTCCATTAAAATAATATCTTGAATCCTCAACTGTGACAATTGCTTTTTCACACATTTTCCTATAAGTGATTGCATTTGTATATATCATACATTTCCTTTTTGATAAACACACTGAACTCTTTCCTCTGCTAACTGATCATATATGAGTGTGTCAGGAGCATCAGGAAGGTAAAGTGATGCTGTTTCTTCCAGCGGAGGGGGCCTCCAATGAGCCCTGCTCTGAGATCTACTGCGGCGAGTTCCCCGAGTCGGAACCAGAGTCCCAGGCCGTGGCCGACTTCCTGCGCAGCCACAAGGACTCAGTCCAGCTCTACTTCAGCATCCACTCCTACTCCCAGATGCTGCTCTTCCCGTACTCTTGTACCTTAGAGGAGGTGGAGAACCACAGAGTGCTGGTGAGTGCTGTGGTCACTCAAGCTTTCCTATTTAAGCAGCATGTTGTCTGTCAGCCGATGCCACAGTTCTCACTCACCTCAGAATAAACAGACAGGTTCTTTCATGCAGTGGTCAATTTTGACATTTTGGGCTATTTTGCTTACATGACATGTCTTCTTTCATACTTGTGGAAAGAAAACAAATATACATTTATGTGCTTATTTGACTACACTGTAGATTTCACCAAAAGTTAGCATTAGATAATGTCTAATTTGCACATTTAAACATACAATTTCAGAAAACTTGTAATAGAAATAATTGTCTGAATGTGAGTAATCAACTGGGGAGGTTTCATAGTGATATCTATTAGTTAGTTTTGTTTTCCCTATTCACCTGTAGTGTCTCCCCTTAGTTGTCCTTTCTAAATGTGTAAATGCTCTTTTCTTTTAAAGTTTGAAATGGCTAAAGAAGCTGCCCAGAAAATCAGAAGATATTATAGTAACACCTACAGATATGGTGCCGGAGCAAACACAATATGTAAGTAGGATTAATTCTTCAAGCAAACTGACCTTGACTTGATTCTCACACGAGTGCCATTGTCTGCTCTCCAGACTTGGCTCCTGGTGGCTCTGATGACTGGGCGTACAACCTCGGCATCAAGTACTCCTTCACGTTTGAGCTCCAGGACCGCGGGCGTTATGGCTTCCTCCTGCCACCGTCTCACATTTCCAGGGCCTGCAATGAAGCTCTGATTGCTGTGAAGACCATTGCTCTCAGGGTTATAGAGAAAACACAAGCCCCAACGAATCCTTCTCCAATTTTCTAAGCAGTTGCACCTGACATTAAGACTGAGAGTTCAATATTTGAAGCCATGTTTGTGAATGAATCCCAGGGTTTGTAGTATTAGTAAAAGATCAGCTAGCCTGTAAGAGCTTAGTACACATTGTTAAGAATATTCTGATTGTTATTCAGGGTAAGGAGGAGGGTAAGGACATTCCTCTAGTCTAACATTATATTATGGGTGTCTATTTTGCAGAGATTGTTTTGAGTGTATGCATTTACAGGAAACATAAGAATATGGTGCAGAGAACTAGCTGCAATTTATTAATTAAGACAAACTTGTAGACATAAAAACTGTAAAAAGACATTAAGTGTCAGTGTCTTTCTTCTTGGTATTGGTGTGCCACACACAGGTAGAAGGTAGTTCCAATGAAAACTACATCATCATGTATATATCACACAGATATTAACACTGATTGTTCTTTTTCTTGCAGATATCAATAATAAGGTCACAGTCGTTTCAGTGATGGTGTTACTAATGCGTGTACAAACAACGTGAACCCCTGCACGATGTAATGCTCTCTTATACAGAAGCTCTGCATTGAATAAATAAATAAATGAAAGAATAAAAAAAAATCCATCTTGCTGTGTGAATGTTTTGTCCACATTTCTATCGACATGGGGAATTTTATGTTGTAGGAGTTCTCCGGTTTCTGCCTTGTACAGTGGACGTCTCATGACATCAGTGAAAGGTGCATCGGTAGATGGCGGTGGAGCGCAACCCGTCGTTACAACCCACCGAAGAAGAAGAGGAGCTACGACGCGCACCCTCCGCCACTATGAAGGCACCGAGGGCAGTTTGTGCCTCTGACTTTAAAGAATAAGCCTTGTTATTTCTACAAGTGCTGAAGCCACTAACTGGACTAAAGTAGATGCCACACCGAATCAGTATCTTGGGTGAGAAGTTTGTTTGTTTGTTTGTTTTTAACGTGCACAGTGTGCGGCGGGCACGCGACTGACGGCGGCTGGAAGGCCCCGCGCTCAGATGAAACATGAAGTCATTAGCTTTTCGCTTTAGCATTAGCCTCCGTTCAGTAGCTGCTCGCAGCGTGAGGCGTGCAAAAACAAATGCTGAACGTCAGCCATTCACCGGCTTGACTTATTAAGCGCAGAGTAACTCGTGTGACTGCGAGACACTTAAAGAGTTTTCTTTAGAGTCGCGCTGAACTTTAGCTAACCTGAAGCTAGCGTGCGAGCCGAGCAGCACAGACAACAACAGGCCGGGACATTTGCATGTGTTTATGTTTTGGACGGGTCGCTACCTATCGGAGAACAAGAGCTGCAGGAAGTCGGGTCTGTACATTCAAATCTTTCTGGGAGGTTTCTGCATTAACGTTATTATTTTAGTCGTAATTTAGAGTGGCGAAATCAGTGTCCCTGCCCTCTGAATGAATGAATGAATGAATTCAGGGCTGCAGAACACAGCGGAGAGAGATCGGCGGACAGCAGCTTGATAAATATGGTTTTTAATGTCGTTTGATGTAACCCGTAAAGCATCCTTGACTATTACTCCCCCTCCTCAGTTAAAAAGCAGCAGCAAAAGATGGAAATTATTCTGCTTTTAACACTCATTTAACTTCCCTGCTTAGGTCTTCTGGTGTGTGTGTGGATGTACTGATGCAGATAAGTGCTCAGACATGCCGTTAAGCATTGTCTGTCGTATTTCCAGTCCTGCAGAATGTCCAAGATCAGGCGGAAGGTAACAGTGGAGAATTCAAAAACCATATCTGACAGCAGCAGCAGCAGCAGCACCACGACCAGCAGCACCAGCAACCCCGCCGCCCCCTCCCGCCGGCCCAGTGTGTTTGAGAGACTCGGCCCCAGCACTGGGAGTAATGCTGCTGATGTATGTATAACAAGGGATGCCGACTGAGCCTTCCAGCACACCCAGAGGATGTAGTTGTTTGTTTTCATGCCTGCTCTCCCTTGTTAAATATATAAGGAGTTTGCTCTTTCCTGCAGCAGGCATTAAGATGTCTTGACTTGCTGATAATAGCCTTACGCAATGTGTGTCGTTTTGTACTGAACCCCCTGTCCTCCTAGTGTCCCTACTGTGATGGCTGTCTGACTTGAGTGGAGGTTGGTTGCTGTATTTCATCAGGCTCTTTTGTTTGTGTCTTTCAGAGTCACTGTAGAAATTGGCTGAAGACCGGTAATTGCAGTTACGGCAACACTTGTCGCTACACACATGGAACTCAGCCACGAGGCAAAGGATTTAGCTTCAGTCGGTAAGATGTTTGAATTTATTTTGGCAGTCAGGATTTCTGTGTGATATTTTAGGAATGGGATATTCAGGACTTACATTTTTGGACCTATGATCACTTGTGTTTTTCCTGGTCCTTTTCACATCACAACATTTTACTATCCATAGTTGTTGACTCATTGCTTGTGTGTGTGTTTGTCTTAACGGAGCAGGTCAGCCGAGAGACCCACAGGTGATCTGCGGGAGAGGATGAAGAATAAAAGACAGGATGTTGACCCAGAAAACCTGAAGCGAGACCTAGACGAGCCCACATCCCCCCCAGCGAGAGTGAGTTCTCTGCTCTTTCGGTCTCTTCTAGTTTAAATCTATTGGCCAATGATGGCAGGTTTTTAAAATAAAGGGAAATGCTGCGGTGCTGTCACTGAGCCTGAATCAGATTTTGACTTGGAATGTAAATTGTTTTTAAACCTGGAACTGCAACACGCATATCTTATACATCTATGTGTGCCCATTTACAGCAGAGAGACTCCTCCAGAGGCCGACACAGGGAGAAGGAGGATATAAAGATCACAAAGGAGCGCACCCCAGCCAGTGAAGAAGAGCCCACAGAGTGGGAAGCCAATCGTGAAGGTTCAAAAGCTTTTTTTTTTTTTTTTCCATTTGATTTTACAATTTTAAATTAACTAAAAAACATTAATGTGAAATTTGACATCATATAAGATCTGGGCTTTTCTTTAGAAGTCTCTGTTTTTATTGTTTGACTTTAAGACTCAGATATTGGTGACTACGATTACGAGTTATCCCTAGAGATGAAGCGCCAGAAGATTCAACGTGAGCTGATGATACTGGAGCAGGAGAATTTGGAAAAGAGGGAGGAGATTGTCATCAAGAAAGACGAGGTCCCCACCAAAACTAGAGCCGCCGCCATGCCGAAGGTAAGCAAAGAATTTTTTCTTGGCATTCAGCCTGAAAGTATCTTCTGAAATATCTCTACCTCACTGCCACTCATCTTTGTCCCTCAGGCCTCCCCCGAGCAGTTAAGAAATAAGGATTCACCCTCACCCAGGAAGTCCAATGCATCCCCAAAACACAAAGGGGGAACCAAAGGCCCCGGCTCTGGGAAAAAAGAGAAGAAGGCGTCAGTGTCCTCACCTGTTTTAGAATCTGCCAGGTAGGAGTCTGTGGCTGGGCTTGCTTTTTAGTTTTCAGGTGGACCTAACAGACTTTGGTTATATTGGGTGGCCATTAAGTTTTGCGTGCAGATGGTACTACTGTGTGTCCATGGATGACCATCTGACATTGCAATGGAATCCACTGCACTCATCTTATACTCCTGTACAGTAGAATATAATCATTATCATGTTTTAAGAAGATATAACTGATATCTTTTGTCCACTTCCAAGCAGGTCTTCAAAAGGGAGCCACAGTAAAAAGAAAGGGCCCCGTACACCTAGTCCTCCTCCCCCGGTCCCTCTGGACATCCCTGTTGTGGGGAAGAAACACAAAGGCAAGCACAAAAACAAGGAGAAGTCGGAGGAGAAGCAGAAGGAAGGGAAAGATCGGGGACGAGATACGGAAAAACACAAAGAGAAGAAGGAAAAACGCAGGTACGGCGTGGATGATGGGCCAACATCGTCTAAATAATATGATCACACAGCATGTTCATTCATTTTTTCTTTGCTCATTTAAGAAAACGTATCTTCAACTTCTAACTCTCATCCTTTTGAACGTGTTGTTTATAGGGACCGATCAGACAGTTCCCACAAGGCCAAGCGGTCAGTGACATCAGAGGAGCGTTCTGGTAGTGTGTCATCGCCTTCTAGGGGCACTTCACCCTCCGCCGTGAAGAAATCCACCTCTCCTAAAGCTTCGTCCCATAAGACCCCTGCACTGGTCTCCCCTCCTCGCAGGTTAGCGCACATGAAGCACTGAGCAATGATTCCTTCGAACAGCAGAGTTTAAGTCTGCCAGGAAATAACTGTCCTTTATCATTGCAGGTCTCCCTCTCCTCCACGGCGCCAGCGCACCCCAACTCCTCCCCGCCACCACTCCCC